TTCTGTGGGTGGCTGCCACTCGCACCCACCCCCTCCTCACCGCTGACGCAGCTGGCAGCATCTGTGGGCGGTCCCTGCTTGTTGCCACCAACACCACCACAGGTGGCTGCAGGCAGTCCCCGCACACTGCTCACCAACACAGTGCCCCCCCCACCCACCCCCAGTCACGGGAGGTACCAGTCGTTCATGCCAGTTGGTTCCATAATTTGTTAAATGAGAGACTCCTCAGTATGAAGAAAAAATTTTAAAAGGATTAAACTATTATGCTGGCTAACATTAAGTCTTAGTTCCAGAAATGTTTCCTATTGGCTCCCATTCTTGTAATGGATACAACTGAAAATGTAAATGTGATAATAAAACTCTATTAGGTTATGTAACTTATTGTTAGGCTTAAAACCAAAACTACATTCTGAACTTAATACAGTTTTTTAATGTGTATAACCTGTATCTGCGATATTTGCAGCATTTCTAAAGAACTATTATTGTTAACTTTTATGAAAACAGCCATTCAATGACTTGCATTTCACTGAGATCTTGTATTTTAGAAGGAATTCACCCCACCAACAGGGATTCAGATGTATTTTCATGTAGGAACTGACACCAGGAACTGGATAATTGATATGAATAGCAATGTGCTATGATTTAGACTTTTCCCATAAACGTTCAGATCCTTCAGTGGGAATTTTGACTGAATACAGCCACATCAAGCTTTTAGCTCATAAGTGGAAGTTTTTGGTATTGAACAGTACTATACTTACTCAAATCCAAGATGAGGGTTTTTTTTCCTCCAGTCAACGTAAGGGGATTCTTGTCTTAAATTTGAGTACCAGCCTGGGGCAGGGCTGTTTCAGCTCCAGTTTTCGCTCCAGCCCTATGCAGCAGGGTGCCCAACAGGGGGAACACAGGGAAGACAGCACAGTAGCAGGGGAACTGCTGCATCTGCAGCTCCAGCTCTGGCCCCAGCCCATGCAGAGCCACAGCCACAGCTATCTGGTCAGGGCTGGAGCTATGGCTAGCCAGGGCCAGCACCGGAGTCACCATGTGTTCATGCCCCAGACTGAAGCTGCTACATATGGGGAACTGGGGAAGAGGGAAGGGGAAGCAGGGACCAGGTGGGGCAAGGGACAGGGGTCTAGCTACGTGCTGTTAGGGATGTAACTATTGTTTTCAAAAGTATTTGTTTAACCTTCTCTAATTACATTGGTTAAACGCTTAACCAATGACAGCAGCTGCTGGGAGCTGCTTCCAGAGCCCTTTGACTGAGGGGAGGCAACCCCAGCCAAACAACAGAGCCCACTGGAAGCCCTGTGCTGGCAGAGAGGGAGCACCTGTGAACCAGCAGCTAGTTGCTTAATTGATAATCATTAGGCTGCTAGCTGGCTATGGGTACTAGTCCCCTCTCTGTTCCCCTCCTCTTCCCTCCCTCCCTTCTGCCTGCCCTGCTGCCTTCTGGTTCCTGCTCAGGCACTGTACAGCTTCCTTTTCTCCCTTGCCTACCGGATTGTGCCCTTCCGGAGCTAAAGGATAACCAGTAAGCTAGCCCGTTATCACTGCACTAATAAGTTATATGATTAATCATTTAACCTTTCACATCCCTACCTGCTGTCCCACAGCTTTCCCTGCTGCAGTGGTAGGGGACACAAATTTAAGACAGCCATCTGATGATTAGATTCTATAGATGGAAAAGTATAACATATTTATAATACATCTGTAATTTTCCATGTATAGAATCTAATTATCAGAGGGCTGTCTTAAATTCAAAGTTGGTTTGGATTTGGGTGAATATGGAAATTTTAGCCACTGGAGTGAGAGAGAGTTCATGTCTCATTCCAAAATTCAGTGCTTCAGCATGCGGTCTACTCATGCAAAATCTTAAGGGTTAAAAGCATTCCTGTTTGTTGTAGCAGAAATTTCCTGTGGTATGCCTGATTTTGACAATTTTGGTTACCTAAGGAGAGCTGATAGGTTTAAGAGGAGGTTGGTTTATTATAGTGTATAGAATGATTGTTGGCATCGTCAACTCTGGCTTCGAAGTGAATCCATTTACATTTCAGTCAGGGATGAAGATGATTTCACATCTTTCTCAAGGGCAAACCTAAAAAGATATTTTGGATGTTTGGGAATATCAAAGTATGATATATGTTAGCATGAGGTTTGAGCCAATTCTGCTCTGGTGTCAGTAGTTGGAAAAAACACAAATGGTTTCTGGTAGCATATAAAAATAAGGTAAAAATATTGGCTGAAAAAAATGGCAGAAACTAATGGTAACAGGCTCTTAGAAGTCTGCACTTTATGATACCCTAGAGAAAGTGCTGTTACATTTCTGGAAAAGTGCCTAAGCAGGGCATGGATATTCTCTTCCTGTAACAATATTGGCAATCTCCTGTATTTCCAAAATAACAGACATCACTGCATTAGATCCAGGATGTTTCTGAGATAAGCAGATACGTTTTTATCACCAGAACAGACAGTCAAGGAGTTAAAGGTGTCACAGTCTAGTTCTCAGTTAACAGGATGGTGGAGACATGCTAGAGCTATAGCCAAAGTAATCTATACAACAGTAAATATTGGCAAATGACCCTGAGGGTCACTGAAGACTCAGTTACTCAAAGGCATTTTTCAAAGAGAATCAGAGAGCAGAGCACTTCTGTTCAGGAGTTCATAACAATAAAGCAGGAGTGGAATTTCCAGCTGTCAAAAGTGAAGTCAGAAATAACAGCTCCTCTGACTCTACCTGTTCTTCCTGCTATCGCTGAAATTCTTAACATCTGTAAAAATGTACGTTCTGCAGAAGACACTTTTCAAAAGAAGGATTCTTCTTACATTTCTTTATCAAAATGACCTGAAAGGTACATCACAGATTCCTGTTGCATCTCACGGGGGCTTCAGTTTTTCACCAACTTGGGCGTGAACCCCCAAGTTGATCTGCACACAGCAATTGCTGCACTTGTCTTCAATCCCATGGCTGCATTAGGGCTATCTCTGGATAGATGGGTCTGCCCTAGGAAGCGTGATTGAACTGAGTACTCTACACCTTTGCATGTTATCATTGGCTCTAGATTTAATGTTTACATTTTCATTGTCTCGGGTACATGCACAATTGTTATGTTTCTGCATGGCCCTAAAAAGGTTAAACCCTTTTTGGTCTGTCAGAGACTAATAACACCTGATTGGGAGGGGGTGGGGGTCCATGTCGTGGTAAGTGCATTAGCAATAAATTGTAAAGTCCAGTTACAAGTGCAAGGTAATAGAGCAGGGGCAGGCAATTATTTTGGGCAGAGGGCCACTTACTGAGTTTCAGCAAGCCATCGAGGGCCACATAACAGGCATCCCAGGGCAGATTAATATTAATTTTCTAAATTTTTTAGGGGCCCTGCAGGCCTGATAGAATGGCCTGGTGGGCCGCATCCAGCCCCCGGGCCACATTTTGCCCACCCCTCTGATAGAGCTACCACTGCATCAGGCACAATTACAGACTGTTTGATAAATCCCCTTATTCATATAAAGGTAATTCCTAATTTCCTTTTGGTAGCCTATTTCCAATGGACGAAAGATTAACATACAACATGGTAAATGAACCTTGAAGTACTAATTCTAAATAGTAAAATAATACACAGAATTCACCTAGAGCTGAATGCAATATAAATCATCAACACAAGCTCAGTAGAAAAGTTAAAATGATATTACAGCCTTGACTATAACCAATTTAGGAAGAATTTTTACTAGTAACCATTTAAATTACCAAAATAAAAACAACAGTCGACAAAACCTGTTATTAAAATGTCAGGAGGCATAAGTTTCTCATGCCATACTGATCTTATTTTATTTGTATTGCAAAAGCAACCACAGTTGGCTAAGCATTGTACAGAGACGCATGAAAAGACCTAATGCTCACCCTGAAGAGTTTGCCATCTTAAAATGACAAGTCTTGAAAGAGGATAAAAGACTGGGTGATTCTTTGATGCTTTGAGCTGTTTCTCATTTAAATCCCGTGTTTACTCTATTTCCCCAACCCTTCGATTGTCTCCAGAATGTTGCCTGGTGAAGTCAAATGAAGTAGCAGAATGCTCTTTTGCATATCCTCCCCTTTTCGAGAGTGAGATAATATGAGGCATTGTGTAGCAATCAGAAAGGTACCTAGATTCTCATATGTCTTTTTAGATTTCTAGAAAGATTTTGGGGGAGGGGACTACTGTCACATTGTTAGAAATTATAGTGTGAGAAGTTCTTTTCTCTTTGCTTCAAACATTATTTGCACCATATTTGGAGATATTCTTCAGTAATATGCTTGAATAATTTATTGGAAGTAACTGTACACAGTTTCTCTTTGCATCTTTGTGCTTCCCTGTTAAGGCTTCTAAATTCTGTGTGCGTTAATGATCCTGCAATAGGCTTCATGTCTTCTAGGAAGGAAACTTTTGTTCTTAATATTCGGTGCTTTCAGTCTGTTTCTATGTTCTTATAAGATTTATTAGTGACTGTTTAACAGAATGGTTGGAGATGTTTCCTCTGGCATCTCTAAACCAATAGTGGTGGCTGCCAGGGAGTTTAATGAATAGAGGATAGATTACTCTAGAGTAGGGTTGGGCAATTATTTTGGCTGGAGGGCCGCTGGACGAGTTTTTGGTGAGCTGCTAAGGGCCTCAAGTGCCCCTCCCCCGGTCGCCGTCTTGGAACCGGAAGTCCCATCCCTGACCTTTGCTGCCAGAAGTCCCTCCCCTTGCCCCAGAACTATTTCTTTTGGGAGGGGACTTTACCATCTTCAAACTAGAAAAAAACAAACAAATCATAGACTAAAAAAAGCAAACATCTACTATAACTTATTTTAATGTAATTTTTTAAAATATTTTGTCCCGATTTATGTGCGTTTGTATAGTGTATCTAGAGGCAATTGCATAATTGCTCAAAATACTTTCTTACTCTTGTATATTGGGGAGGTACAAGGTGTATGTGGGAGCTGTGTGGTTGGAAAGCGGGTCTGGGATGTGCATTTAGGGTGGGGGGTGGGAGTGTGTTGACTGTGAGGGAGTGGGTGTGTTTGGGGGTATGGTGGAGAGGATGGGAGGGTGTTGGTATGTGTGTGTGGGTGTGGGAATGGGTTGAGGGGGTTATGGTGGGAGTTGTGTGTGGAGGGTCTGGGTATATTGGGGGTATAGTGGAAGGTGAGGAGCCAGCCCCATCCATCCTGTCCCGGCTTCAGCACACAGTTCCTGGCTGCAAGGCCAGGACCCATATGGCATGGCCGCCAGCCTGGCCCATCCTGGTACAGTGCAGCTCCAGTTCTGTTAGTCCCAGCCACGCAGCTGAAACTGCATTCTCCAGGGCCAGACCGGGCTAGCCCCATGCCACACTGTGCAGGTCCCAGCCTTGCAGCTGGAAACTACGTGCTACTGGGATGGGACTGGCCAGGTTGGCCTGGCTCTGTGCCATACTATGTGGGTTCAGACCTTGCAGCTGGGAACTGTGCACCACAGCCAGGGTGGGGCAGGTGGGGCTGGCTTTCTGCTATGCCATGTGGGTCCTGGCCTTGCAGCCAGGAACCACGTTCTACCAGGCCAGCGCTATGCTGTACCACGTGGGTCCTGTCCCAGCTACAGCGTGCAGCCCGGACCCATGCGGCACATGGAGCCGGCCTGCCTTGGGAGCACACAGTTCCTAGCTGCAGGGCCAGGACCCACATGTAGCACGGAGCCAGTCTGGCCTGGCTCTGGCAAATGATTCCATGTGACACTTGAACCTACATGGTGCGGCATGGGACCAGCAGAACGTGGTTTCAGCTGCATAGCTGGGACCCACATGGCACAGCACGGAGCCAGCCTGGCCAGGGGGCATGCTAGTGCCAGCAGCCATGGGAAGTCCCACACCATCAGACTGGGCCAGTTCCATGCCTCCATGTGGGGTTCCTGGAACCTGTAGCTAGGAGTGGCATATGGAGGCATGGAGCCAGAGTCCCGCAAACAGAGTGGGGCCATTGCTGGCAGTCCGCCCCTCCCAGCCCATTCTTACCTGAATTTCCACTCTCAAACGGAGGGAGGATGGGGAACAGCCACAGGCCACGAGAGAAGACCTCTGCTAGCCTGGGGGTGGGGGCATGGCAGGGCAGGTCAGGTTGGGATTGGAGTTGGTCATGCCGTAACCAGAGCCAGAGTTGCTTGGTGCTGCGGCTGGCAGGTCCTGCAGCCAACAGCTCCTGTCACCGGTGCCTTGTTGGGTAATAATTGTCTACGTTTTAGAGGGGTCTCACGGGCTGGATCAAATGGCCTGGCAGGCCAGATCTGGCCCACAGGCTGTGTTTTGCTTGTCTCTGCTCTTGAGATATCCAGTTCAATGCTCTACCTCTGTAGCGTCAACTTCTACCACTGTTGAAGACAGGCCTATTTGATATGCCTTGATGTCATGGGCCTTAGCCCATCACAGAAAAACTATAAGCCTTCCTTACTAAGGGAGGCCACTGGAGACATACCAACTAATTGCTTGGGACAATAATAAAAGAAAGCAGAAACAGGAGTAGGGCTATAGATTAATAACTAGGTCATCGGACGAGGACACTGAACAGAGCACAGTGGCCCAACGCTCACTGCCCCCTGAAGGAGTCGAGGGAGCCTGTGGATGCCAATCAGTGAGACTCCATCTGGATACATGAGTGGAGCAGTGCCAGGAAAGCAGCCCCACACTCACCCGGGGTCCTTCAAGCCAGAACCTCCTTTCTGGCCTTATAGATGGCCAGTTTGGCCAAAGCTGTGAGGAGGTTGACCCGGAGGTCTCAAGACTTGGTGGGGCAATGGACAGGGAGTCCGTAAAAGAAAAGGTGCAGGGAGAAGTGCAGACAACCTCAGCAGCAGGTTCTGGCGGAGGCAGAAGAGGGGCTGCAACCTGGTGCACTTGAGGCAGCTGTGTGCCAGAGTCTCCCTCTGGGGTCAAAAGGCAGATGTTGAAGGTGTCCATAAAGCGTGCAACATACACCCATGGAGACGGCCCCGTGGAGGAGCCGCCAACTAAGGTCCCCAGTAGCTCATGGGATCAAGGTGAAATACAAGCTAGTCCACCAAGGACCCTTCCCCTGCCCTCAGCTAGCATATCCCACCATTTGTTGTCAGGGCAAGACATGAGGACATGGTGATGAACTGCAGAGCATGAGCATGTAGCACTGGAGGTGGTGGGCTGTTCGGAAGTGGACCAGTTTGGTGTCCCCCAGCCTGCAGAGGTGGTGGGGCAGGGAGGACTGTGGGGCCTGCCAAAGCAGAGGCCCCACAATGAGCTCTAGGGACACTGGGGGCAGGGACTGCCCTGTCGCAGGACCTGGTCAATGTAGGCGAGGGCAGTGGGTGACAGAGCAGCCTTTACCTCCTGGAGTATGCAGCAGGGAGCATACAGCCTGGGCAGCTCCATGTGCTGGGCCAGTGCAGAGGGATCCACCCTGCCCTGCCTAGCATAGTCCAGGGCTCTGCCCTGCCTAGCATAGTCCAGGGCTCCAACACGAGTGATGTGGGCCAGGATCATCCTGTGGTGCACCTAGGGCACCTCCATCTCCAGCACCGCCAGCTGTGGGTTTTTCAGCTGGGGCTCGGTGAGGAGGTCAGTGCCCTGGGCAACCATCCCAGGCTGTATTTTGCCTGCTTCTGCTCTAGAGAGAGACAGTTCAATGCTCTCCCTCTATAGCATCCACTTGTGCCACTGGTGAAGACAGGATACTGGGCTAGATGGACCATTGGTCTGGCCCAGTGTGGCACATACATTCTTATACTCTCCTCTGATCCCATTGTAAGAGTGAAAATGCAAGACCAGTTAGAATGTCTCTGAACTGTCTCTACTTCTCTCTCTTCCGCTTTAAGTCACAGCAGTTTTAGTCTCCCTATAGGAAGGTAGGATGGATTTCTCTCCTTAGTTGCTTTATTGACCTGGAAATAATTAGACTACCAAGTGGCACCAGTCAGTCTCTAAGCAAATGTACAACATTTTAGCAGGATTTATTCAGTCTTACACTTTGGCACACCCCACTATCAAGTTTCAAACAAGTACTTTCTCTTTAATTAATACAGAGTTGATGAACACAAAGGTGTTATAGCAACGTAGTTCATTTTTCTGTCCCTTCAGAAATACTATATGGTATTCTACTAAGAGTTTGTCTGTTAGGTTGGGGGGGGGGGGTTGCCTTTATACTCTTAACCAGAGAACCACTTCCCTTATTGCAGCTGCAGCTCCAATACTTCTCCTGCTTTAGGCTTCCTTATTGTTTGTTCATAAGTGTTGCTTTGGTCTGGTGCACTGATTCTCGGACAGGATGCCATGGTACCTTGAGGTGCTATTAGATCTTTTCAAGGGTGCCATACAGTATTAGCACTCTTAGGTGTGCAAACACCTACATGTGATTCACAAGATAAGCTGAAAGATTTCAAATAGGAATCCATGTTGTAAAAAAATATTCTCATTTGTTGTGGTTGTGGTCCTTGAGTGCTTTGCAACAGAGGAATTGCTTCGGCATTTTTCTGTAGTCAAGAAACAAGTGAAAGCTATGAACTGGGACTTTCTGAAGGGTGCTGTAAGTCTAGAGAGACAGAATCACTGGCTAAGAATTTAATATATTTTTAATGCTGCATTTCTTTTGGGTCTTATTTTCTAATGACTTTAGATTATTTGTGTAGCTGTATATGCATATACAAGAATAAATACTCAGGAATGTTGCTGATGTGGCTTTTCTCTTCCCAGACATTTACTGTCTACATGCTTGCTACATCTCAAATACAATCAGGTATATTGAAAATGAATGTTAAGTAGAACCTTTTTTTTCTATTCTTCTTTCCAGGTTTCCATTCTGGGCTGCCCTGATCCAAAAATTCATGAGATTGCATATCAGTATGGAAAAAATGTTGGCATAGCTTTTCAGGTAACATACTCCCTCCTTTGCTTCTGCTGAACTAATGGAGAGTCTAAAATGCATGCTTCTTACAACCATATTTGAAACCAAACTGGATTCCTGCAATCCATTTATTTAAATCCTATTCTAAGTAGATGTAACAATTAAAATACATCTATATGGCCTTTTTAGTGTGTTTAAATTAACCTGTATGTATGTTTTTATTCAGCTAATAGACGATGTGCTGGATTTTACATCGTGTGCTGACCAAATGGGGAAGCCAACAGCAGCAGATCTCAAGCTTGGATTGGCCACAGGCCCAGTTTTATTTGCTTGCCGACAGGTAGAGATCAAAAACTAAATCCCATTTCTGACTAAGAGGGACACCGTCAACTAAAAATCTAGTCAGTAATGAGTCTAGCAGTTTTAGATACTTTATCTGTCCGTGACTTTTCCTGATGGTTGCTGGCTTTCTGATCACACTTTCCTATTTCTTAAAAGTTTTAAAAGTTTCTCTGCTATTTATATGGAAAAATAACTGACTGATTTTAATGGAGAAACTGTAGTCACACAAGTAAGCTTGCAACTTTTGTCTTGGAAAGTAATTTAACTGAAAAAGAAACAGGTACTCCTGTCTTCTGCTCTTTTAGTGGTGATAACCTGAGACATTAACTTTATTTTCACTTGCTATTGCTAATGAAGTCAAAATTGTTATTTCAAATGACATTTTCCAGTTGTTAGGAAACTTGAAACAAAGTACCTTTGATATCATGGCATTTCTTTGTAATGCAGAAATGCTGAAAAATAATTCTGGAAAATTTAGCAGAAAATTGTGTCTGGAAATGTTCATAAAATACCATTCAGATGAGGAGCCTGCCTTCCAGCCCTTGCAGGAGGCCCATTACTTAAATAGTGATTGTAAAGCACATTAAGAACCCCTCGCAGAATGCATTATAAAAGGGAATGGTATGTGTTATAATTACTATTGCACCTTTTAAGAGTAGAGCAGTATTTTTTTTCCTGTTTTGCAAGTATCCTGTGTATGTTATGGGTTTATCTGCACAATAGAAAAAGTGAAAGCAGCTGTTGGCCATGCAGCCTTCCTTAACCCCTATAAGTTAGGAAGGAGTCTGGGAATGACTGGGCAGAAAGTTTGAAGAGTTATACACTGGAAGTCTGCACATTTGTTCACTGCAGTCAATAACTCAAACCAAAAGCATCAATTGCTGATTACCACAATGCTGATTTTACCAGGGCAAAAGGTATGTTCCATACAGAGGCATCTGTCCATATAGAGAGACTGAGCACTATCAGTTCCAAATGAAACCAGTGATTTAGTTCCTGATTTCACCAGGGCAGAAGGTATGTCATAGGTGATAAAGCACATAAGAAAGTTTTCTATCTACCTGTAATAACACAGGCCTTCATTAGGTGTATTTAAACTCTTCTGGGGAGGGAGGAAAGAATCATAGAATATTAGGGTTAGAAGGGACCTTGGTCCAGCCCCTGGCTCAAACCATGATTATCCCCAACTATATCATCCCAGCCAAGGCTTTGTCTATGTGGGTCCTAAAAACCTCCAAAGATGAAGATTCCACATTCCTTCTGGGTAGCCTGTTCCAGGGCTTTATTACTGTCCTTTTGAGAGTTTTTCCTTGTATCTAACCTAAGCTTCCCTTGCTGCAACTTGAAACCATTGCACCTTGTTCTGTCATTTGCCACCACTGAGGACAGTCTAGCTCCATCCTCGCTGGAACCACATTTTGGGTAATTGAAGGCTGCTATCAAATCTCCTCTCAGTTTTTTCTTCAGGCTAAATAAGCCCAATTCCTTCAGCCTCTCAGAAGTCTATGCCCCAGCCTCTTATTTTCATTGCCCTCTGCTGGACTCTCCCCAACTTGTTCACATCCTTTCTGTGGTAAGGGGCCCAAAACTGGACACAGTACTCCAGACGAGGCCAAATAGAGGGGAATAATCACTTCCCTTGATCTGCCAGCAATGCTTCTACTAATGCAGCTCAGGATGCTGCTAGCCGCTTTGGCAACAAGGGTACACAGTTGGCTCATGTTCAGCTTCTTGTCCACTGTAACCCCCAAGTGCTTTTCTGCAGAGCTGCTGCTTAGCTTGGTTCCCAGCCCGTACAGGTGCATGGGATTGTTCTGTCCTAAGTGAGAACAAGATGGATATGCATATACACACAAGGGAGAGTATAGCAAAAGAGCTTCTTTGAGACCAGACGAGAAGACAATGACCACTTAAGAAAAAAAAGGGAGGCTGAGTTGGCTCTGAGAGCAAGACCTTACACACTATACAAGTTTCAGTTTTAATGGCATGTGCCACGGGATTCATGAAGACTCATTCAAATCCAGTAAGATCCAGTTAATCAGGGGTGGGCAGCCTGCAGGTGTGGGGCAAGCTGCAGGCTGCGGAGGAAGCAGGCAACACAAGGCAGAAAGGCAGGAACAGACCAGCAGGGAAAGGGGATTGGTATGGCAGTCAGGGAGGGCGCAGGGCTTAACTTGTGGCACACTTGCCAAAAAGTTGGCCCCTACTGCAGTTAATCATCTGTGCTCAGCATTTTCTAGGGAAAAAGGGAGAAGGATATAAAGCTGAGCTACTAAAAAAGGAACAGCAATAAATACGTAAAGAGGATACAAAAGAACTGAATACTAGCAAGTAGAGAAATACACATTTTGCATACGACTCTTAAAAGAACATGAGGTTGTTTAGCCTGCAGAGTGCTGATAACTCTAGTCTAGAACTGAATGAAATTATTACTGTATTATTTATATTTGCATATTGTCCAAGTGTGACCTAGTATTTGACAATAAAGAGCATAGAAGTGACACCACATAGAACAAGAAGACATGATACCACCCAAGAAGAGGCAGTTCAAGACCAGCAGCAAGCTTTTGAGTAATCTTGTTTTTTAATGTATTGAACTTTTTAAAACTTAATTTAGAAAGTGAGTAGATGAGTAGGGATTGTTGTGGCATATGTCCATATAGATTGATTACTACCCTCAGTTCCTTCTAACTGAAGTCAACAATTTAGTTCCCATTGAGTTAATTTGCTGTGATGAATAAATCAGGTTACATTATTCTCAGCAGTCAGACTTGTTCATTGGTTAGTAACAATATTCCCCATTAAAAAGATCATCTGACTGCACTGTAGGTGGAACATTATGAAAACTTCAACAAGCAGCTATGGTCAAGGCAGGTCCTGTTTTTCATGCCGAGATAAATAGTCACCTAGTACTGTTAATGCTGTCATTTTAATAAGCTTCCATTCTGAAATCACCTGTTTTACAACTGAGGGATTTCATCAGGTTTTGGTTGTGAGTTAGTGCCACTAGCCACTTTCACCAGTCCAGCTAGGTTACTAGTAGAAGAAACTGAAGGAGATAGTTTACTTTACATGGTGAGATAAGATAAAATTATGGATAAGAAAAGCTTGAAGGAGTGGAGTTTGTTCTTCTCAATTATTGGCTTTTAGTTTGATTTCTAAGTCTTAATTTCACAGGTTTCCTAAGGTAGGCCAGACCCTAATTATTAATAGTAAGATAAAATAGCAGGGAAAAATTAATGTAATGTCTTTAGGGTTTTTTCATTTATTTTAAACTAAGAACCTCACATTTTTCCTTTGTAGAACATTTAACATTGTGACAGCCTTTAAATCTTGATGATGAAAGGAAATTGCCAATGCTTAATCAAGCTGTCCTTCTACAGGACACATTGGAAGAAGCTAGTAAAGAGATGCTACAGATTTAAGTGATATGCTCAGTTTGTTTATATAACTTAATGGTAGACACTGGGGGTGTGCAAAATGGGCCGTATTCAATTTGAATCAGAGACAGTGATTCAATTAGTTGATTCGGATCACTGTCCCTGATTCGATTCGGTTGAATCCGAATCTGAAGATTTGATGCTGATTCAGAGAATCAGCGATTCGGCCATGGAAACAGCTTTAGATGTTTTTTCTATATACCTTGCGGTACCAGGTGCGGCTCGTGAACACTGAGATGGTGGGGCGGGGGGGAACATCCCACAGGAACGCGGGAGGGCCCCCACGTGCTTATCAGCGAACCCAGAAGTGGACCAGAAGTACTTTCGGTCCACTTCCGGGTCCACCGCTGAGCGCACTGGAGGGCCCCCCCACAGCTCAGTGATCAGGTGTGGGGGGGACCCCAGGTGCTCCCCCAGACCCAGGAGGCAGAAGTTGCCAAGCTGGAGGGAAGTACTTCTGGTCCACTTCTGGGTCTGCTGCTGAGTGCACTGGGGAGACCCTCCAGGCTTCTGTGGGATACTCCATGAGCCCCAGCATCGCAGCACTCACGAGCTGACTGCTACCTAGAGGTATGTAGAAAAAACATTTAAAACTTTGTCTACGTTCCAATCGTCATATCTTTTTGAATCTCTCTCAGTCGATTCTGAGGGTTCTGATTCGATTTGGAGAGATTAAAGGGTCTCCTGATCTGATTCAGATTTGGAGATTCAGCCACCAAATCGGGTAAGTCTCCGCCAAATCGAATCAGCAACTGAAACCTCGCACAGCCCTAGTAGACACTACTTGTGCTTCCAGCAAGAGGTGTCTCCATTTGCACTCAACAGAAGAATAACTCGAGACATATTGAAAATACTGCACAATTAACACCTTTCAAACTATCTTTTGCTAAATGCAATACTTTTTCCCAAAGGAAATAAAACATCTGCTTCTCTTGCCCTACCGTTTTGTCCAGCTTACCATTTCTGGCTGTTGAAGATGCTTTTATAAATGGTAACATTATAAAAGCATTATGAATGGTACCTTTTCCTCATACCTTATAAATGGTAAATGATTTTGGAGTAGCCTCTGACTTTCCAGTTGCAGCTATTAGTAACTTTTTTTTTCTGTGAATTACCTTGACTTGTAGAAATGTTGATTGTTTTGTACAAATAATGTCCAGGTCACACTCCCTCAAATGCAGTTACAGGTTATTTAACACTTGAGAGCTACGGAGAAGATGTTTGATTGTTTACCTGGTATAATTCCTGCTTCTTATTAAACTCTCCATATTTTTAAGTAGTTGTATTTTAAACATTCTTAGCATCTTTCAGTCTCTCTCATAAAGCTACTTTAGAACAAATGTAAGCACTCTTTCCAAATATTTATACGTTACCCTTTAAATCTGCACATAATAGCTAAGAATAGCTTTGCATAATCTATGTTCTTTAAAAAGCCAAAGCATGTGCATAATCTATGGTGTCAGAAATAACCTAAGACGGGAAGATAATATGAAAATTATAATTAAGATATCATATGCTAAGAAGCTTGGAATCATATCCCTGAAAGGCTACCATTTCCCAATACAAGTTTTCCCTGGCTCAAAATATTGAAGGCAGTACAATGAAACCAGAACCCTGTAAGTATATAAAACAAATTTAAAATTTGGCTTGATCTTAACTGCCCCACATAGAAAAGAGCAATTTCATTTCATAATCCTCTTTTGTAAGATGCACACTGATGCTGAGGGCCTTCCAGCATGACATCTGAAGGAAGTAAAGAACTCGCTTTCTGCCTGAGGACAGTGATTTGCCCAAATAACTAACTTTATTTGGCTTGCCAGTCAGGCAGATCAAATACAGAACAGTGAGGGAAATGATCTTGGTCCAATTCTAGGTCCACGGCAAATGGGAGAAGTGTTTTTGTTTTAATTTCCTGTGTCCAGCTAGCTCTAGGAATCAAGGAATCAAGATAGAACATTACCATTGTGTGAAAGTAAAACCACTTGGACATCTTGTTCGTCAGCTACTTTAGACAAATGGACACTTCTCCCATAATTAAATATCTTAAAGTATCCTCACTGGTTTGGTGGGAAGAGGTTTGGTTTATGTTGCAGTATAGCACAAAGCAGGTACCCACAATAGGTAGCCTGGGTATTGGGAGCAGTCTAGCTACAACCCAGAGCTCAGCACAGGGTAAGTTAGCCACAGCACCAGCATTCAATACAGACTACATTATTACCAGGTTGGTTAACATGGGGACCTGTGCTACACTGCAGCCTGCAGTATAAAACAGCCCCCAAATTCAGTAAGAGAAATAAAGATTGGCAAAGACTCCCCCACCCAGTCCGACTTTCTGATGTGCTTCTTTTAAGGCAGTTGAAGAGGGGAAGCAGGGGACAGCTACTGTATATTTATCACCCCTTTTAACTTATTAATGTAGTTGTAACTAGTGAAATAGTGAAGAGAAAACTATACATGGAAGAGATGCCAGCTACCTATGTTCTTTGCTTAGTTTCCAGAAATTAATGCTATGATAATGAGGAGATTCAGTTTGCCAGGAGATGTTGAACGTGCACGGGAATATGTACTCCAGGTAAGAGTTGTAATTTCCCAAGTGAGTCTGGAATTCACTGCCTCAGCTAATTCGATAACAGTGGCATATTCAAAAAATGCTGTAACGTTTAAGATCCCTAACTTTATGTCCCTTAAGATAGAGTTTTATATATCTTTAGACTTTACACTGGCTGCTAAGGTAAAAATGCTTCATTGGCACAACACTTTGGAGGAAGAGAGACTAGTTATAGATAATGACCAGGGATCCTGGTTTTCTTGGATTTAAAAAATGCCAATTCTCTTTTTTTTTTTTTTTTTTTTTAAACCCCCAAATCCGGGATTAAAATTAAAG